TGTGTGTGTGTGTGTGTGTGTTTGGGGTTAAGATCTGGTTTTAGAGTTAGAATCAGGTTTAGGTTAGAGTTAGGCCTCTCTCTCCTCTCTCTCTCTCTCTCTCTCTCTCTCTCTCTCTCTCTCCTCTCTCTCTCCCTCTCTCTCTCCCTCTCTCTCTCTCCCTCTCTCCTCTCTCCTCTCTCTCTCCCTCTCTCTCCTCTCTCTCTCTCCTCTCTCTCTCTCCTCTTGCTGCTCGCTCGTCCAGCTCCTCTCCCACATTCCAGCTCGGCCTCCATCTCCAGATACAGACCCCTCCTCCCCATGCATCCTCCTCGCCCCTCCTCCTCCTCCCTTCATCCTCTGCTGGAGAGACGAGCTCTCAGGCATCTCTCCTCATCACACCCCTCCTCCTCTGCGTCCTCCTCCCATCATCCCCTGCAGGCGGCTGCAGTTGAACAGGAAGACTCCCTCCCTCCCCCCTCCCCCCTCCCTCTGTGTGACTAGAGCTGGTTCGGCCTGTTGCTGATGAAGAGGGGGGGGGGGGGGTGATGGGAGGGTTTGGGTGTTCCCTTTGGTTTGTGGGTAAATAAGTCGGAGAAGTGAGTTGAGTTTTCTCCTGAAGTTGTGAAATCATCGGAGGAAGACTCGACAGGAAACAGAATCTTTCCTGATTCACTTCTCGACTGAAACTAGTGAAACGATTCAAGAACTTCCAAACAGCCAATCACGTGACAGCGTGTGATCCCTGAAACACACGTAAACACAAACACGGTCAGAACCTCATGACGTCACTGATCCAATCAGTCGACACTTTTCAATTCAAATGAACGTGTTGAGAAACAATGAGCCCCTCCCCCACAAGCAGTCTTTACACGAGCTCGTTACTTTTCCTGAAACTTTCTTCTTCGTGACTGAAGCGGCTGAAAGTTTCTCAGGAAACTTCTTCAAGAGAAGAAAGATTTGAGTTTTAGTTTCTGTGGTTTCAGTCGAATCAGATCGAAACCGTTTCTTTTTTATGTGTTGGATTATTACAAAACGTGTTGAACACATCGATGACCTCTGGATAAACTAACAATCATGGGGATCCTCTGAGTTCTCACAGAGCGCCACCATCAGGTCAGAATGTGAATGTGTCCAATGGTGATAGAAGAAACCTCCGAACTGTCTCAGGTCCAACAACAGTTTTATTCTTCATTTTGTCAGAAACCAGATTCCAGTTCCACTAATTTGTCAAATACAAACTTTAGTTTTTGTTAAAAAGATCATTGAGTCTTTGATCTCAGATTTTTGTTTCCACCAACTCTCGAGGGAAAAGTCTGACGCTGTCGACACGTAAAAAAAAGAATCTGCTCACAAGTAAAAATTATATTTTTTTGTCTCCAACTATGACTTTTTTTTATCAGTTTCTTTGTTTCCCACAAACTCCTGAAGATGTTTGAACTTTTTATTCTGACTTTGTGGAAACGAACAATTCGACGATTTCAAAGTTACAGAATAAGTTTGTGCGACTCGTCTGTTCCGACATCGAGCAAACCTGCAGAAGTTCTGTCGCAGTTGTGATGCGTCCTCTCCTCCTGCATCCCGGCCTGAAAACCAGAGAAGAGAGAGTGTGATGTTATTTATTGGACTGTAACCATGGAGCCGTTGCTGAGGAACCAACCATCGCCAACAAAAGGGTGGATTCATCCATTCATCCAGCGGAGAGCAGCAGCAGCAGCAGGAGGAGGAGGAGGAGGAGGAGGGGGAGGAGGAGGAGGAGGAGGAGGAGGAGGAGAGGCATCCCCAAACTCAGCCGAGCAGAGGAGAATCTGAGCCGGAGGGTTTCCCAACACTCAGAGAGTTGACACAGTTGTTGATGAAACTCTACACATTCCTCCTCCTCCTCCCCCTCCTCCTCCCCCTCCCCCTCCTCCTCCTCCTCCTCCTCCATTGGAGCGTTGTCTGGACAGGCAGTCAGTCACATGAAGCCAACACCTGTCGGCAGTGTGGGGGATGACAAGCACATGCTGCTGCTCTCTCTGTTTCCAAACCAGCTTCACAAACACATGTGCACGCTCGTCTCCTCTGCGGCCTCTTCTCCGCACGTCGCTCCGTTCTTCTTCTTCTTCTTCTGCAGAAAAGAGGCTGAACAAGTGAAAAGATGCAGCTCCAGCATGTGCTCTGGGTGTGTGTGTGTGGGGGGGGGGGGGGGGGGTAGAGAAACCGGTTTCCAGTAGTGACGGATGATTTGTAGGTAACAGTTGTTTGCCTGCAGCCTGAGGCCTGTCCCGCTCTGC